TCCAATTGTAAACATGAATACAAAACCTAATGCAAATAACATAGAAGGTGTTAATTTGATAGATCCTCCATAACATGTTGCTAATCAAGAGAATATTTTAATTCCTGTAGGTACAGCTATAATTAATGTAGCGGCAGTGAAATAAGCTCTTGTATCTACGTCTAAACCGACTGTGTACATGTGATGACTTCAAACAATAAATCCTAATATTCCAATAGACATCATAGCATAAACCATTCCAATATATCCAAATATTGATTTATTTGAATTAGCAGAAATAGTTGTACTTATTATACCAAAAGCTGGGACAATTAATATATAAACCTCAGGATGACCAAAGAATCAGAAAAGATGCTGGAATAAAATAGGGTCACCCCCCCCAGCTGTTTCAAAGAATGATGTATTAAAATTACGATCTGTTAATACCATTGTTATTCCACCGGCTAACACTGGTAAAGATAATAATAATAATACAGCTGTAATAACTACAGCTCATCCAAATAAAGCTAGTTTGTGTAATCTAATACCAGGAGTTCTCATATTAACTATTGTAGTTATGAAATTAATAGCCCCTAATAAACTACTAACCCCTGATAGATGTAAAGCAAATATAGCTAAATCTACACTAGGCCCACTATGACTTTGTACCCCTGATAAAGGAGGGTATATAGTTCATCCTGTACCTGCTCCACCTTCTATTACAGCAGAAAATACTAATAATAGTAAACTAGGTATTAATAATCAATAACTTATATTATTAAGTCTAGGGAATGCCATATCAGGCCCACCTACTAATAATGGTAATAAAAAATTACCGAAACCCCCAATTAAGGCAGGCATAACCATAAAAAATATCATTAATATAGCATGAGCTGTTATGATACTATTATATAATTGATTATCCGCAATATATTGTACACCAGGACCACTAAGCTCCATTCTTATAAGAACAGAAAAAGCTGTTCCTAATAACCCTGAAAATAGTGCAAACATTAAATATAATGTTCCTATATCTTTAGCATTTGTTGATAAGAATCACCGTTCAAATCAAATACTTATAGAAGATTTTAAATTTTGTTCATCAGAAACAAAATCGTTATTTGTCACATTATGACTATGCATGTGCCTATCCCCTTGATCTTGAACGATATACACAAGCATGAGCATTCCTTAGATATAATAAATGTAGATTTATTATATTATAATTTATTTTTAATTTTCTGATAAAAAGAAGCTAGATAATTACTCTAATATTTAACAAGATTATGGAGGAATTGAACCTCAGACTTAAGATCTGCAATCAAAGTGTAGACCAACTACATCATAATCTTCTATATTATGTATAATACATAATATATTTTGTATAACAAGAACTAATTATATACTACTTACTTGTCTTACTTAAACTTAAGTCTACTAAAGTATTTTCTAGTAAACTTATAGCTGGAACTATTAAAGCAAAATGTCCAAAATATAGAACTGTACTTATTTGCCCAAATTCTATAAATGGTGATTCAACGTGTTTAGCTCCTAAGCTCATTAATACTAAGAAATTAGCCACAAATATATAAAAAGCTATCTTACTTAAAGGTCTAAACTGTAAACCTTTAGATCTACCTAAATCTGTAATAGGTAATAACATTATAACTAAAATTGCACTAAACATAGCAATAACCCCTAATAATTTATTAGGTATAGATCTTAAAATAGCATAGAATGGTAACAAGTATCATTCTGGGACTATAGCTGGAGGAGTTTGCATTGGATTTGCCATTATATAATTTTCACTATCTCCTAATACATTAGGCATGAAGAACACAAATAAACTTAAAACAAATATAAAGATAAATATAGTTATTAAATCTTTAAATAAGAAATAAGGAGCAAAAGGTAATCTATCATAATTACCTGATACACCTAACGGGTTACTTGACCCTGCTGTATCATGAAGTGCTATTAAATGCATTAATGCTAAAGCAGCCAATACAAAAGGTAATACAAAATGTAATGCAAAGAATCTATTTAATGTTGCGTTATTTACAGAGAAACCTCCTCAAATGAATTCAACAATATCTTGTCCAATTCATGGTATAGCACTTATAAGATTAGTAATAACTGTAGCACCTCATAAAGACATTTGACCATAAGGTAAAACATAACCCAAGAAAGCTGTAGCCATCATAAGTATAAGTATAACTGTACCTATAGCTCAAACTAATGTTCTTGGAGATCTATAAGATCCGTAGTACATACCTCTACCTATGTGTAAATACACTAAAAAGAAAAAAGCTGAAGCTGTATTACTGTGTAAGTAACGAATTAATCATCCATTATTTACATCACGCATTATATGCTCTATAGAATTGAATGCTTCTAATACATTAGGACTATAATGCATAGCTAATGTAACACCAGTTATAATTTGTATTATCAAACAAACAGCTAATAAAGACCCAAAATTTCATAAATAGCTAATATTACTAGGTTGAGATGCATCAATAAGATAAGAATTGACTAATTTTAATAAAGGATGGCTTTTTAATATTCTCATTTTTTTTATTTTTGTTATATTATTTTATCTAAAGAGTTAGTTAAATAAAGAAAATAAAAGTTTTTTCTTAAAAGCTCTATTATGTATTATATACAATTATTTTTTGTTATATTTAATCCTTAATACTTATAATAAATTTTTGACCGCGGAGCGACCAATTTTATTTATTATTAGAAAAATAAAATTGAAAAGAAAGCTAAACCTATTAGTATTGTTATATCAAAAGTTAAAGTAAAGAAGTATAAAATTAATAAATATACTATTATACCTATCAAAATATATAAAGCATATGTTGTAACAATACCTGTACTTAAAGACGCAATATTTTTACTCAATTTAGTTAATCCTACCTCTAAACCAAAAGGTCCTAATATTTCTATACTTCCTTTATCTAAGACTTTAGTAGTTTGTCCCCCTAAATTTAAGACTAAATTTGTTACATATTTATTATAAAACATTTCAATTAAAAATCTTTGATTAAAAAAACCAAAAGTATTATACCCTAGTTTAGAAAATTTAAAATTAATTAAAAATTCAGGTAAAAATTCGGATAAAATGATCGCTAAAATACTAAATGAAATAGTGAAAACTAAAGGTAATAATTTAAATAATACTGGTACTGCAAATTCAGTATCTAACATTATTTCATGAACAGGATGTATAAAAATACTATTATCTATAAAAAAACTTGAACCTAAACCTATAAAAACATCTTTAGTTATATAACCAAAAAATATTGAAAATATAGCTAATACAACTAAAGGTAAACTTAAAAATAAATCACCTTCATGAGCATGTTTATAGTAGACCATAGATCCATTAGGATTAGTTAAGAAAGTTAAATATAGAACTTTAACTGAATACAAAGTAGTAAATATTGCACCTATCACGGCTATGATATATACAGCTATACTACTAAAGTAATATTGACCAAAAGCAGATTCCAATATAAAATCTTTACTATAAAATCCAGTCATAAAAGGAAAAGCAACTAAACTAAGACTTGCTATTAGTATAACAGAATATGTTAAAGGTAAAAATGAAATTAATCCTCCATATTTTCTGAAATCCTGGTTATCCGCTACTGCATGAATAACAGCTCCAGCACCTAAAAATAATAACCCTTTATAAAAAGCATGATTTACTAAATGAAATAGAGCTACATTATATGAAGATAAACCTATTGCTATAACCATCATACCTAATTGTGACATTGTTGAATAAGCTATAACTTTTTTAATGTCTTGTTGAAATAATCCAATAAGAGAGCTAAAAACAGTTGTAATAGCACCTAATCATAAACATAATAATAAAACAGTAGAACTATATTCTATCAAAGGAGATGAACGTATTAATAAATATACACCAGCAGTTACCATAGTAGCTGCATGTATTAATGCAGAAACCGGTGTAGGACCCTCCATAGCCATGGGCAATCAAACATGAAGACCTACTTGAGAACTTTTAGCCATAGCACCTATTAATAAGCATATACCTATAATAGTAATCACATTTTCATTAATGTATGGAGCTAATGAAAAGACTGTAGCATAATCTAAATTACCTAAAGATCATAAAATAGCAAACATACCTATCGTTAAAAAGCAATCACCTACTCTATTCGTTAAAAATGCCGAAATAGAACTTTGGTTTGCGGCAATTCTAGTAAATCAGAAACTTACTAAAAGATATGAACAAACCCCTACACCTTCTCATCCTACAAACATTAATAAATAGTTATTGGCTGTTACTAAAATAATCATCATGAAAGTGAATAAGCTTAAGTAACTAAAGAATCTTTGTATATGAGGATCGTTACTCATATAACTTATAGAGTAAATATGGACTAAAGAACTTATAATTAAAACAGGTATTAACATAGATACTGTTAAACTATCAAATTCGAAACCTCATATAATATTAAATCATTCACTATCTATTCATCTAAATAATTCTATTGAGACCGGTACATTATTAAATCCTACTTCAAAAAAAGCTATTGCTGCTAATATTGTAGTAACTATTACACTAAAACATGTAATAAACTGTGCTCCACTAACCCCGACTTTTCTACCAAAAAAGCCAGAAACTATAGATCCTAATAAAGGTAAAATTATTATACTTAAATACATTATTTATATTCTATTGCAATACTTCCTCTTAATCTATAGAAAGCCACTAGAATACCCAAACCTATAGCAGATTCTGCTCCTGCTACTGCTATAATATATATAGCATAAGTTTGGCCAATTATATCATCAATGTTAAGTGAACTTACCAATATTAAAAATGTTATAGCCAAAAGCATTATTTCAATGGAAATAAGCATTAATATAATATTTTTTCTATTTAATACAAATCCTAAGATCCCTATCAAAAAAAGTATTAGTGTAATATTCATTGTATATTTTTTAATTTAAATTATTGTATAAACCCCATATGGGGAGGGGGGGGCATATGAGACTCGAACTCACATTTGAATAATTATAGATTAATTTACCCAAATTTTACCGTTTAAATTAATACCCCTTATAATAGTTATTAACTATTATGGCAGGATTCTGGGGTTTATATATGTATCCAATAATCATTAGGTTATTAAAGTTTTATCTATTACACCTTTATATTGTTTTAAAGATAAAAAGTTATACTCTCTACTAATAATTTTGGGTAATTATATATATTGATAAGTAAGCTAAAAAGTGTGTATAAGACTCGAACTTATACGATAGTAACCGTACTACTATATTCTACCATTAAACTAACACACCTTATATTTAGTCTAAATATGTTTAGTCTAAATAAATATATTTTTTTATAAATATAAAAGTAAATAAATATTATGGAGGGCTATTAAAAATCTTCGATTTTTAAAGAGCTCTAAAAATTATCAAATATTTATATAAAAACTAAATAAACGATAATAAGTAATTACTAAAGCAGACGATCATAATAAATAAATATTTAAAAAGCCCCTCTACTTCGCCTTTTAATATAGCTATCTATCTAAAATTTAGAACTTCTACTTATAATATAATAAGCATTACTATATAAGATATTTATCTAATAATTATATAATACCAAATCCAATAAATATAAACTCTATTACACCTAGTTTTACCTTCAATACCTATTATATTAAATACATTATTAATTATTAAAAATAATCCAAAAATACATAAAATATAAATAATTCTGAATAAATACTAAAATTTTTAGACAACTAAATCTTTTCCCGGAGGGACGGAATTATTCAGATTATTATTTGACCGCGGAGCGACAAAATTTTATCTCTTATATACCTGCATGTTCTCTTAATACTACGTACTCTACATAATTTAATAATAAGATTATTAAAACTTATTATATTATCTAAGCAACAAGACGAATAGACAGACTATCCTTAAAAATAAATACAGACCTGAATTAAGAAGGATCAACAATATTACAGATAAGGCCCAACAAACTAGGTAAAGGTGTATTAGCTATAAGGATAAACAATTAAAAAGCAATTAATTTAATGTTTAGGCGGCAAACCAGGATCCCCAAAATTAGGAACTTCCTGAGAAGGTCCTTTTGGTTGAACTACTTCCGGAGAAGGTTCATTAGATTGTTTAGGCGGAGGAGGAAAAGAAGGCTTACGCTCTGGACCAACAAATTCGGGTAATTGAATACCTCCTACTGGCATATCTACATTCTTTTCGTTATCTATTGATTCTCAATTTGAGTTTAAAGTAATACCTATTACTATAAGAATTATACAAATAGAACAACCGACTAATAGTTCCATTGTATAATCACTAACTATTTTAACTAATAAACTCAAAAAAAAAGAATATATATTAGATATATATTGAAAAGGGAAAATTGAATCCAAAATTCTATTAATATAGTAAAGAATAGGTTGTAAATTTTCCATTACTGTTCCTCTAATCATGTCAAGAATTTCTCCAAACTCACTGACTCTATAACAATAGGCATTGAACTGTGCAAAATACCACATATCTCAGAACATTGACCGTAAAAAACCCCTTCTCTATTAACAAAAACAGAGACTTGATTTAATCTACCTGGATAAGCATCACATTTTATTCCTAAAGCGCTACAAGAAAATGAATGTATAACATCACCTGAAGTAATAATAAATCTAACGTGTGTTAATTCAGGAAGGATAACTCTATTATCAACTTCCAACATTCTTAAGGCCCCGTCTTCTAAATCAGATTCTGGTACTAAATATGAATCAAATTCTATAAACTCATCATCTAAATTTAAGAAATCAGGATATTGGTAGCTTCAGTATCATTGGTGGCCCTCCGCTAAAACTGACATTGAAGAATCATTAACTTCATCCATTAAATATAATAATTTAAAGGAAGGGAATGCAATTAATATTAATATTACTGCTGGAGTAATAGTTCATATTAATTCTATCAAAGTACCATGATTCAAATATTTGTGAGATATAGGTGATTTAGTTTCAACGTAATTTCTAATTATAGATAACATTATTCACGCTACAGCGAATAATATTATAACTAGATAATACATAATATTATCATGTAATTCAACTAATCCCTCCATTTGAGGAGTAGCACTATCTTGAAAATATATACCTCAAGGAGTAGGTACATCAAAATTGATTTTTAAAAAATAGTTTAATAATAACATAATATAATATTTGTATAAAATATCTCTATATCCCTTGAAAAATTTGTAAATATAATACACCATAAATAAAATATAGAGGTAAAGATAAACGCCCACCCCTTCCCGATAGATTCATCTATCACTATATACTTAACTTTATATTGAAAGAAAAGTGATTATAACTCGCTATTCTTATTAATCTATATATAAATATTGACTAATTATATACAGAATTCTAAAATAAATCCTCCGTTTTTCAAAAATATTCTTTTACATTAGCTATTTACTTAAAATTAGGATATAATATAAAATAAATTACCTTTCATGGTTAAACTAAATATAGTAATACATAATAAAATTAGTCTCTCTTTAGTTTAAGACATAAATAAAGAAAAACAAATAAAATAAATTAAATAATATTAGTTGAATAAGCTATTAATAAATTAAATAATAATTACTTTACATGTATCTATTGCACCTTATTCTTGTTCCATCTTTTCCCGAGCATCGGTTTATTTAGGGCTTTCAGTAAAACTATCGTTTGCATCTGGGGCTTCACTATATTTATCATTAAATTAATCACTACCTTTTTTAGCATAATCTCATTCTTTCAATTCAACAACTTAATTTTTTCGTAAAACTTCCTCTTCTTGATGAGTTTTAGTAAATACTAACCCTAAAACTAAAAATCCTATTTGAGTCATAAGCTGATAAGATTTAAGCTACATACAAAAGCAAAAAAGCCATCATTAATGCAAATAAACCAGTAGCTTCTGAGAAAGCAAAACCTAAAATAGCATATGAAAATAATTGACCTCTCATGGATGGATTTCTAGCTACACCTAGAATTAAAGCTCCAAAAACTACACCAATTCCGACTCCTGCTCCTATTAAACCAGTAGTAGCTAAACCTGTCCCTATTATTTTTGCTGCTTGTATCATATTTTTTTTTTATTTTATTAATTCATCATAATTAACATATAATTCATTTTACATTTGTTTTATGTAAATTTAGATTAGAAATCTTTAACTTTATTTTTTGGTGAATTGACCAAAAATTTAAGAAGTTTTACCTATAAGTTCTGTTACATTAGAAGACTTTACATTAAAAAGAGCTATAATTTGTCTACTATCAATTTTTAAGGCACTTTTACCTAATTCAAAGACAAATCCTATAGTTATTATAATTATAAATAATAATGCTATAGTTAATCCATAAATATCATTTACATATTCACTTAATGCAAACGGGAAAGTCAAAAGAATTTCTAAATCCAATAATAAATAAACTAATGCAAATATAAAAAATTTAACACCAAACTGTGTTCTATTTTGACCTAAAAAACTATGAAAACCACATTCAAATATACTATATTTTTCCTGGTAAGGATTGTGAGGAGCAAGAATTAAATTAACTATTAAAAATACTAAAGCTAGTATAGATACGAACAAAAAGAAAAAAGTCATACTACTCATTTAATTATTAAATAAAATCTGTACCAATATGGTACCCATGCTTAATCATTCTTTATTCATGAATATAAATAATAAAATTACTAAAGTTATACTAGATATTGTTATAGATATAGGGCTAGACATAACTATATTATTATATTTGAATTCTAAATTTTTTACTAAAGTATCATTATTATAAATATAACTAAATAATTTTCTATTCTTTATTAAAGAATTTATTTTATATTCTGGTTTATAAAAGAAAATTTCTTTTACAATATTAAGGTAATATACTGCACCTACTACACTAGTTAATATAGCTACTAAAGATAAAAATACGTAACCGCTATCTAAAGCAGCACTTAAAACCATCTGTTTAGCAAAAAATCCCACAAGAGGTGGTACTCCTACAAAAGAAAAGATTGTAATAGCTAAACTTAAAGCTAAGATAGGGTTAACGTAAAAATACCCTCTTAATTGGCTAATTAATTGGACAGGAGAATTATTTTTATCCAGTAATTCTTTATGTTCTTTATTATCAGTTACATAAAAATAGAAAGAAAACCCTATGGTTACTAATATAATAAATGCATTTAAATTACTTATTGAGTATTGCATTAAATAAAAAACAAAAGCTTGGATAGATTCTATACTAGTTATACTTAAAGCTAATAATATGAAACCTACATGACTTATAGTACTATAAGCAAATAATCTTTTTATTCTAAATTGTGTTAAACCTACAACTGTTCCTATTATTAAAGATAATAAAGAACTCATTAATAAACCAAATGTTCAATTAAAATCAGAAAAATAATTGCTTGTAAAATAAACTATTTCTAATAATAATATAAAAATAGATATTTTCGCTATAATAGCTACAAATGTTGTAACGATTGTAGGAATAGCGTCATAAACGTCAGGTGATCAAAAATGAAAAGGTGCAGCACTAACTTTAAATAAGAATCCTATACTAAAAATAAGTAAAGCAAAATTAATATAATATGGTTTATATCAAGAATTGATATTATCACTTATGCTAGTAATTATATACAAACCGTCCATATTAGTAGTTCCGGAATTTGCGTATAATAAGCTTGTACCTAATAAAATAAAACATGAACTTAAACCCCCTAATAAGAAATATATTAAACCACCTGTAGTAGCTAATTCAGAATTTCTATATATTGTACTTAACAAATACAAACCATAACTTTGCAATTCTATTGATAGAAAAATAGATACTAAATCATTAGTAGACATTAAAAAAATTGCTCCACTAACTACAAACAATAAAATTAATGGGTATTCTATAATTTTTAAATGATCTCCCATTTTATTTATTATTTTAGTTCTATAAAATATAAAATTATTAAACAATAAATCTTTTAAAGATGAATGTTCTTTAACTCAAACTTTTCTAGGAAAAAAACTAGTTAGTTGTAATATTAATATACTAACTATAAAAACAAATATGTGAAATATTTGAGTTATATTAGTAACGTGAAGTAAACCTCCATGTAAACCTATCCCTTTATTTATAAGAGATAAACTAACTATATCATGTAAAAAACAATAAATTAAAGCAATAATGGCTATTCTATTAAAAAGTATTGACATATCTCGTCTTAAAGTGACGGCATTAGAAAATAATAAACATAATATAGATAAAGTTATCATAATATAATTATACATTAAAAAGCTCAAAAAATGACCTTTTAGAGTAACCAGAGGAGAAACTCGAATTCTCATCTTTAATGCATGAAATTAAAGTTTTAACCCATTAAACTACCCTGATGGGAGGATACCCTGACTTGAACAGGGAACTTACTGTGCCACATACAGTCGCTCTACCTATTGAACTATATCCACCTTATAATACAAAATTCTCTATTATACAAGGATAAAACTTTTAGCTTATTATGTATGAATTGGTTATCTGATAGACTTATGTTGGAGTGACTCGAACACTCAATATTAAATACCAAAAATTTATGACTTACCCATTAGTCCACAACATATAAGGTAAATCCGACTTGAACGGATAAGATTTTTTTAATCAAATAGGCCTAAACTATCCATGTCTACCAGTTCCATCACTACCTTTGCTCGGCATAAGACTTGAACTTATAACCTAAACATCTTCAGTGTTCCGCTCTACCAATTGAGCTTCCCGAGCTTACATGAATACTATAACCTTTAAATCTATACTCTAGTTTATACCTGAACAAATATAAATAATTATTTGCATTTGGAGATATTAGGAATCGAACCTAAGATAACGATATGCAAAATCGTAGTTTTACCAACTAAACTATACCCCCTTATTATCCGAGAGACGACTTGAACGTCCACGATTATTCATCAACAAAGCTTAAGTTTGCACTGTCTACCAATTCCAGCACTCGGATTAAGGCTAAAGTGACTTGAACACTTATAATCACCGTTATGAGCAGTACACTTTACCAATTAAGTTATAGCCTCATAAGTGACTTAAAAACCATTTAATTTTAAATAACTTATATAACAAGACTTTTAAGACATATTATACAATAATATAAATTATATTTAATAAGTTAGCTTGTTAATCTATATTATTCTAAATTTTTAGTACTTACCCTCTTAACTAGATGCGGACAAAGGATTCGCACCTCTATCATTTGATCATGAGTCAAATATGTTACTATTACACTAATCCGCATAAATTATAATAACAATTTATATTCTATTAGGTTAGACGGGAATCGAACCCGCGATAGTGGCATTGAAAGAGCCATGTCGTACCACTTGACTACTAACCCTTATAATAATAGCCCAATGCAAGTATCGCACTTGCTTCTATTGATTACAAAACAATTGCATTACTTTTATGCTAATCAGGCCAAAAAGTGTAAGATATAAATAAAATATTTAGTTATTTATAAAATTAGTACTTTATTCCTTAAAATCTCTAGATTATTACAAATAAAGCCTATATCAATAATTATCATTTCTGAGGATAAAAAAAAATGAATTTTTTTATCACGGAGAATAATTATGTTCGTAATGTTATATTACGTATATTTAAGAAATATCTTAAGGTAAGCTTCGTGCCTATATGCTTTCAGCACTTATCTTTGACTAACTTAGCTTTCCTGCCGTGCCTATACTATATAACTACTCAAGTGAAAGTAGGATAGTCCTATTTAATTTACATTAAACTAAAGACATATAAACAACAGGTAAACCAGAGATTAATAATTATGCTATTTCAATATTAATATATTAATATACCAAGTTCCTTTCGTACATAGGTTATTCCTTATTATATTCTAATTCCCTCTAGAAGATAGAAACCATACTGTCTCACGACGTATTTAACCCAGCTCATGTAACTTTTTAATCGACGAACAGTCGTACCCTACATAGTTTCTGCATCCATGAGGATAAGTTAAGCCGACATCGAGGTGCCAAACCGCGCACTCATTTTGCACACTCTTGCGCAAATTAGCCTGTTCAACTTGTTATCATAAAATTATTATTTCCATCTTTTACAAAATGGTTCAGACTATTTCTTCATTTTTTTCTTTTGTATATTTATTGCTATTTTTATATTATTTACCACTAAATCAACCACTTACTGCAAAAGATCCAATACGACGTTTTGAAATTAACCTAGATTTTTCTACATTAGAATCAAGATGTCCTCTAAATACTACTGAAGATAATCCTTTAAACGCTGAATCTATATTTTTTAATCCTCCTTTTCATTTTAATTTATATACAGCTCTATCAGCTCTATAACGTCTAGTTAATCTACCTTTAACTATTAATCTAGCACCCCCCATATTTTTATATTTTATATTATCAAGTATAATATCCCGTATTTTTAAGTAAGAAGCTTTATTTGAAGATACATCTAAATTTCCTTTGCCTTCGGGACTGAAAGAACTTAAAGTAGTTTTATTATGTAAATTATATAATAATTTATTTAAACTATCTTTAAATAAATCTTCACTATTAATTATTGAACTTACATTAAGATTTTTATATTTATTATCCACTAATTCTAAATCCACATTTTTTTCTACTCTACCTCTTTCTATAATTGTATTTACTTTAGGTAAGACTACTTTACTTAATAAAGCGTTTATCTTTCAAATTGGACTAGTTTTTTCTTTTTTTATTTTTGATGTTAAAATTTCAGTAAATATATCTCCATTATATGCTACAGATTTTATATTTACTATATTAAATTCTACCTTTTTACCGTAGTATTTACTTATTAGTTGGCTTAATTTATATAAAAATTTTTCCTCAAACTTGTACTTATTTAAACTTAATCTTAATCTATATCTTCTAATAACTGAGAATATCTTATATAATTTAATAGCTAAACGTTTCATTCGAATATATAAAATACTATCTACTTTTCTAAAGTCATCTTTTACTTTATAATTTGCGAATTTTCATAAAATACTTGAATTAATAAAATTTTGATTATTTATTATTCAAGGTAAAGATAGTCATTTTATTAATTTATTTTTATTTACTAATAATGCCATAAGTTTAATAAATATTCTTTTTAACCTTCTTATTTTTTTTAATAAAGTCAATTTTTCTCTATTATAAACATAAATTGTAATTATAGCTTTAGAATTTGTATGTTTTATTTCTGCCTTACTTACAAAAATTTTATTTAGAGATCTACGTATTTTTTTACGTGAAATATACTTATGTTCTATAAATTTATGATTAAAATACATATTAAAATAACTTTTTATTAAAGAATTTATATTTAAATCATAAACAGGGTAATTAATTGTATTATTAAAATTATAGTTATAAACACTATTTTTTCATTCTTTAGCTACAGGAGGAAGGTATTTCGTTTTACCTATATCATTAACTGATATCTTAAAAGGCACTAATTTATAATTACTATTTAATTTTTGGGTAAAAAGATAAGGACTTATATTATTATTACTTTTTTTGTGCAAATATTTTTTTTTTACCAAATTTTTTATATACATAGTTTAAAAAATGTTGGGAGTTAATAAGGATTATTCTTTATAGAACTCACCTTTAGTCGTTGAACGATTTTATCTTAAGATAAACTTCGCTTCAAATTTACTTACTTACCGCTCCGCGACGAAGTAATTTTTGAAATTAACCCAATTTAATTACAATGATTTTTAAACATTGAAGGACAAACATCCCTAGCGTAGCTTTTCCAATAATCCAAGACCTTTCCTTTTTGTGTCTCGTGATCCTATGCCCCGCTTACGCGACTGTAAGACTTGTTGGTGGTCAAACAGTAAGGCAGGATTAAGCCATTAAACTTGATAAGTATTATACATAACCATTACACATGCGCTCTAATAAAAAAATATTCTTTTTTATAAGCCGTGCAATAGCTAATAAAATATTAGATTAAATCATAATATTTTAACTACGACTAATTTCACCATAATCAAAATCCTACCTGACCGATAAAAATTGCTCCTCATTAAAGTTTTGTAAATCCATACTAAATTAGTATTTAGATACAAATAAGCAATAATTATTAGACACAAGCTTGCGCTGTGTCTAGGCTTGTACATCTATACATAAATAAGATAGAATATAGCATATTGCTATCTACTATTACAAACAAAAAATTACATTTAAAATTTTATTTAGTGATACATCCGTTTTTAAACAGACATAAAACATAATTGGACACTCCCATTTACTCTTTGTGGGGTCTGTGCCCCGCATAAACTGTCTCCTAGCAATTTTTCCTTTCTAAGGTTACTTTCTCTTTTACAAGAAGAGGGTTAATTAACCCATACAATACGATCCCCAAATAAAGGTATTACATTTGTATCTTATCAATTACCTTATTTACTAAAATTTGTCCCCAACCATACCTAATAATTAGTAACAGTAAAGCTGCATAGGGTCTTCTCGTCTAACTAGAGGTAAACTGTATCTGCACAGTTATGCCAATTTCACTGAGTCAATCATAGAGACAGCTGTTGTATCGTTACATCATTCATGCAAAGACTGCATTTAACAGTCAAGGTATTCCGCTACCTTAGGACCCTCACGTTAAGGCCGCCATTAACCGGGGGTTCCTACAGTACCAAACCTTTTAAAGTTAGTTATTTTCGTTAGCCAGCCGGCACCGGGCAGAAATCACACTCTATACTTAGACTTTAAGTCTTTATGCAAAGTGCTTTGTTTTAATTAAACAGTCGTACAACACTATTTCATGCTTCTTCCTTCTTACCTGAGATTATCAGGACAAATGAGCCCTCCTTATCCCTAAGTTACGGTAGTCAATTTGCCGAGTTCCTTTATGATTGTTAGCTCATTTACGCCTTCGTATTCTACACTAGCTTACTTGTCACAGTTTCTAGGTACGGTTATTTTTTCATCAATATTAACTCATCTTTTTAGTTTGTTGTATAATATTAATATATTACTTATTTTTTCCAGCACACTTTTCACTTTAAAAATGTTGTCCTTTAAGTAATAAGATTTTCTCATCGTTTCAACCTTTGGGATTGTAAACTTAGAGGCCGTTACTTTAAATAAACCATAAGCTTTAGGCGAGCGCTCGATTAGAAATTAATCCAACCGAACTTCTTTTTTGTTACTCATGTCACCATTCTCTCTTGAGTATACTGAGGGTAAAGTATTTTATATTTTACTTTAACACCGTCACATCTATTAAAAAAATAATAAAAATGTTGCAGGTTTACTCAATGTTCTGCTACCCCAGTAAATGACAATAATAAATTTATTATTATCAATTATGGACAAGGTATCGGTATATTATTTAGATCCGTTAAATTTTAGATGCCTTTAAAAATTAACAAGCGCTCTGTTACGAGATCTTCGAATTATGGCTGCTTCTAAGCCCATCTCCTTGTCGACTTGAATAAAAACTTTCTTAATTTCACTTAATAATAATTTCGGAACCTTAACTCTTGTTCTGGGCTGTTTCCCTTTTGACATACAACCTTATCATTCTATGTCTGATAATTCAAGATTCATCTTTGCCATTCCGAGTCTACATACTCACCGATAAAGTCTCTACGACCCCCCGATATGTACAAACTAAAATGTAGATTTATTTAAAAGTCTATTACAACTTTTAAACAAATTTTAAACATCTTGCCTGAGATTAAGTTCTGTACCTGCTAAGATGTTACTTAAATTGCCTACTATTATAGGTTTCGCAGAAAACCAGCTATCTAGGTCAGTTTTGTCTTTCACTATACTTACCATAGTTCTTCGGATATCTTTGCTACGATAACCCGTTCGGACTTTTATAATCCTGACTATAGTAAGATCACCTAGCTTCGGGTCTAACTTTAGACACTAATTCATTTTTGATCATCGGTTTAACTACGCAAATTGCTCGCATCTAATGTTAACTTGGTGACCCATTATGCAAAAGGTACGCTCTTGCCTTAGCTCGAGCTGCTTATAAAACTACTATTTCAACCCGTTCCCTCACGGTACTTATTCACTGTCGCTTATGTATTATATTTAGCCTTAGAGGAAGGTTCCCCTTAATATTTAAACAGATTTGTGCCCATTTTACTTATTAATATACTATGTTTAGTATATAGGCTACTCTACTTTCATTCACACTAATTGTAGAATCTCGTTTGATTTCTTTTCCTGAAGCTACTAAGATATTTCAATTCGCCTTCGTTTATTATTTAATTTCTCTAAGAGTTTATATGTATATTTATTAGTACATAACTTTTTTAATATTTTATCGCTCTTTAATACATAGCTCCTTACAGGGATCCCTAATAGTCTCTTTGTATACTTATTTATATATAATATAAATATTTTTCTATATCTAGTACACTATATCACTATAAATTTGGGGTTTCGGATTATTACGATTCGAACGTAACTAGTTCCCAACCCAAATGAGACGCCTAACCTACCCGGCCCTAATCCGTATATATATATATCCTTTATATATTAATTATTAATATAATTTTATATTATGTATTTATTTTTGAATAAAGATAAATCTTATTCTATTAAATACTTTATTCCTAATTTTAATATAGATATATTAAATTGTCAAATTTACTTATGAATTTAATTCAGAGAATATCCGATTCGAACGGATGTGACCTATTTAGGCCAAATAAGACTCAAGCTTACCATCTTAAACCACTCGATCAATTCTCTTTACATTTTTTTTTATTGTTATAATTATTGCACCTACTTAATATATATACTATTTGTTATAATTTTTATTAGGTATTTATTTTTGAATAAAGCTATAGCTCTATTAAACTAAGTTATTTATAGGGTTATTCTGAACTCAATAATTATTATTAAGATCAATCCCCATGCTGGGGGAAAGTAGCCCCAGTCATTGCCCTTATGAGGTAAATTATATGTAATATATTTATCAGGGTTGTAATTAGTATAATAAAAATTATTAGGGTTAGCTTAAAATCCTGGAACTTCACCAGAATTCTTACTGCTGTGGCTATTCCTTCAGGATAAGCACGTGAACATAATATTTTTGGACTAAACATTTTCGGATGTTTTATCTAATCAAGTTTAACAAGAACCATCGTTATTCTCAGTACTAGCTACTGTAGATCTAAATTTGCCATAGTTATAATTTAACTCCTCCCCCTTGTGGTCGATATCTATCAATATAAAGTATATATGCTATAACTATACTAAGAAATACTATTAAAAATAATATTAAATATAACACGAAATTTTCACTATTTAACGTTGAATTAATTATACTATTAACTAATGTTAAATATTTTATTAATATAATTATAAAAAAGTGCTATACTTTCTAATATATATATGTTCTATAACTATTTGTATAGGTTTCGTATATAATAAATAAATTATTCATATTTATATTTAAGTTTGTTTGCCTTCGTAAAGGATAAATTACAAGAGTACTCAGACTCGAACTGAGAAATTGGAGGTTGAAGCTCCCTATTTTACCATTAAACTATACTCTTAAAAAAGCATATTTTTCGGAAAAGAGATGATTCGAACACCCATGTGTAATTAACACAATATTTAGCCAATATTTTACCCTACCTATAACAACTTTTCCTTCACTAATTCTTTCAAGACTTGAACTTGAATATCATTCTTATCAAAAATGCATTTTACCTGTTAAACTAAAGAATCTTATATTTATATTATATAAAAAAAAAATTTTTTTTAATATATATTACTTTCCTTAAACACATATAGAAATACATTTAACCAGATCATATTAAGGATTAATTTAATATTAATCCTTCTCTTACTAAACTTGACATTCCATGGCCTATATTTACAAGATCTGTTTGACTAGTTAAAAGGGTTATGTATTTACAGTTAAATTATTATTAGTGGCGTCTTGATATAAATTTATTCTAGTTAGATTGTAACTAACCCCTTCGCTTACTTTACCGGAGGTCAGAAGTAAACATAGGATAATAATACTCCCTTCATTAGTTTTAAAATATAATTCTTTAGTACCATGCGTTAAAGGATTGTATAGTACATATACGGAACACCTTTTCACGTATATTTTAGTATAATTTATACTAAAAAATTTAGTATTGTAGCATTTAATATTAATATTAATGATTCTCAGTTTATATAAGATCCAGGAAAGAATCAACTAAGTAATAAACAAACATTTATTAAAAATGTTCGCGTAAAAACTAATAAAAGTCATCTTAAGACTAAATATAATAAAAAGCATTTTATTTTATTAAAATTTAAATATAAATTTAATAATTTCTTACTTCATATTTTAGAAGTTAAACCTAATACTATTAGAATAAAGCCCACTAAAATTACAAAATTTATAGTATCTAATTTACATAATATAAACCCAGATAAAATAAGGTAAAAACTATTAATTAAAAATATTCCATAATTTATGTAATTATTTAAATTTATGGTAACCATAAATTTGAATAATTAAGGTATTATAAATAATAACATTCTAATTATAATACTTAATAAATTTATATGAGTAATACTCTACATTTGTATTATTAAGTATAAAAACTATAACATAATATATTTATTAATGACGTAGCTCATTTTTGTATTCCACCTATACTAGTAAAGGCTACAATTAAACAACCACTACTAAAGCATAATGTATTATTATAAGGTATTTTTGTTGAATCAATATTTAATTAGATTGTAATATTACTTTATTTTTATGTAAAGGCATAGGTGTTTTAAATAATTATGGGATTTAAATTTAATATTCTTCATTAAGATCCTCAGTAATACACAGATACATATAAAAAAAGTCATACCACATCAACAAAGTGTCAGTATAAAATTCCACCCTCAAAACCCAAATGATGATTGTCTGTTAGATGGTATGCAAATATTCTTCATAAAGCTACCGCTAAAAAAGCAGTTCCTACCATTACGTGTAATCCATGAAACCCTGTTGCAAAAAAAAAACATGTACCAAAAGCACCATCACTAATAGTGAAAGATGATACACTATATTCTATTCCTTGAAAACCAGTAAAAATAACCGCTAATATTATAGTAGCAATAGAACCATATAAAGCTCCACTTCTTTTACCTTGAATTAAAGAATGATGAGCATATGTAACTGTTGCACCACTTGATAATAATAGTACTGTATTAAGTAAAGGTAATTCAAAAGGATTAACAGGTTCAATACCTATAGGAGGTCATTGAGCCCCTAATTCCACAGTAGGAGTTAAAGCACTATGAAAGAATGCTCAAAATATAGCCATGAAGAATAAAGCTTCAGAAACTATAAATAAAATAACCCCTAAATTTAGTCCTTTTTGTACTGCTAAAGTATGATTACCTAAAAAAGTTCCCTCGCTAATTATATCACGAAATCAAAAGGACATAGCAAAAACTAGCATTATAAGAGCTAAAAAATATATATTATATGCATTACTAAAACTATGCATAGATAATGCTCCACTAGTAGCTAAACTAAACAAACTAATACTTGTATATAATGGTCAAGGTGAAGGAGACACTAAATGAAAAGGATGATTTTGAAAATTACTTCTTACTATTTCAGTCATTTACCTTTCTTAATTAATAAGTTAAAAACATACAAAGTATATAATTATTAAATAAATTATATTATTTAATAATTTATTAAGAAATAAAATCCCATATTTTATACTCTTTAAGAAATAGGTGACTTGAACACCCAACCTTCCGTGTGTAAAACGGTTGCTCTACCATTGAGCTAATTTCTTTTATATTTAATTTCTTTGTTTTATTGTTATAACTATCGCACCAACCATAGCTAATAATAGTATAAAACTAGCCAATATTAACCACATATTATAATTAGTATACATAATATTCCCTATACTAGTTATATGACTATTTTCTATTAAATTACCATCTCATATTTTACTGGTTACAAAATGTATATCATCACTATATGTATTCAAATTCACTTTTTTATTATATTGATTTAAAGAAATATTATATAAAATATTATTTAAATTAGAATAATTATTTAAAATAGCAATATTATAAGGCAATAATTGGAATATAGGATAGTTAAAAGATATAGCAATAGCTATAGCTAAAGGTATACTATTACTAGTATTACTTTGTAATTCACTTATTCTAATATTTATTAACATTAAAATAAATAAAAACAATATAGATACAGCACCTATATAAACTATTAAATAAGATAAACCTATAAAACTTAAACCTAACATTATTAAATAACAAGAAATACTCGCAAATAAACCTATTAAAAATAATACTGAAACAATAGGATTTTTACTAATAATAACAAGTATACCACATAAAATTGCCAATAATGATATAATATCCAATATATCTGTTCTATAACCATTTGTATAGGTTTCGTATATAATAAATAAATTATTCATATTTATATTTAAGTTTGTTTGCCTTCGTAAAGGATAAATTACAAGAGTACTCAGACTCGAACTGAGAAATTGGAGGTTGAAGCTCCCTATTTTACCATTAAACTATACTCTTAAAAAAGCATATTTTTCGGAAAAGAGGTGATTCGAACACCCATGTGTAATTAACACAATATTTAGCAAATATCTTACCCTACCTATAGCAACTTTTCCTTCATTTTCGAATTAGAACGGCCTCGAACCGATATCTACCCTCGTGACAGGAGGGTCCTTTACCAATTAAGCTACTAATTCTTATATTTCAGCAGAGATTTCAAGATGAATCTATATTATAAATTTATAATTATTTTTAAGCTGAAATGTTCATAATCTAAATGGATAATATTACGACCAGTCGGAATCGAACCGACACACTCTGTTTGGAAGACAGTAATCCTACCGTTAAATGATGGTCGCTTATATTTATTAAATTCTTAATACTTTTTATTAATAAAAAACTACTTAAGTTTATTTAGGATATACGAGAATCGAACTCACATAATGATGATTAAAAGTCATATGCATTACCGTTATGCTAATATCCCTTTAATCTCGTATATCTTTATTACGCCCCTAAGATGAATCGAACATCTATCATAATATTAACAGTATCAAGCTCTACCATTGAGCTATAGAGACTTATCCTTAGGAAGAAAAGGACTCGAACCTTCGACAGCAATATAGCTACTGAGTTTACAGCTCAGCCCGTCATACCTACAAACGGAACCTTCCTTTTTATTTTGTTAAAATTTATGAATCCCGTGCAACTTCCACTACACGAACCGTATTTCGACTTAACACTAATCAGAATCGCGCATACGAAGAATCCTACTATAACATCTAAACCCTATCATTTACTTACTTATAATAAAAGAGCAAACTTATTGCACCAACTCCTTTCAGCATGCGACGAGTGGTTAGTACCAATCCAAAGTATTATTCACCGTGACATGGTGATTCACGATTACTAGCAATTTCTTATTCATGCAGCCGAATTTCAGGCTACAATCCATTTCCATATTTTATCCTATTTTTTGAGATTAGCTTAAATTCGCATTTTTGCTTCTCTTTGTCTAGGAGTATGTGGCACGTCTATAGCCCACAATATTAAGGCCATGATGACTTGTCTTATTCCCTTTTGTTCTGACCATTGTAGCGGGCCAGAAGATGCTCTATTAGTAAATTTATAAATAAAGCCGGGGTATTCGTTAATTCCACGGACGAATCCGCAGTTTCACAACATTAACTGAAAACAGCCGTGCAACGCTTGTATTATTAACTTATGTATTTTTCAATAAAAAGTTTTAACTAATTCATTGATATTAACAAATTAATAACATTCAAATTGTGGTAAGGTTTTTCGTGGATCATCGAATTAAATAACATACTTCACTGCTGGTGTCAGAAACGGTCTAGTGATTTCAGTTCCTGCGTTGCCACATTACTCTTGAGGTGAAATGCTTACACTTTCATTTATAGACCAAGTTGTTATAACCTAACCTATGGCATTCATCATTCTCTGCAAAGACTACTGGGGTACCTAATCCTGTTCGTTCTCTGTGCCTTCGTCCTTCAACGTCAGTTTTTACATAAGAAGTTGCCTTCGCCTTTATCAGTCCCCGAGGTATCAACGAATTTCATCTCTACACCTTAAGTACTACTTCCTCACATAAAACTCTAGCAAAATCATCCCTTTATTAAGGTAATTTATTTCACCGTCTAAGTACCCTTTAAACCTATTTAAGATGAATAACACTAGCCTCTTACGTATTACCGCGACTGCTGGCACGTAATTAGTCAAGGCATCAATCTGCTTATCGTCATTATCAATAAAACATTTAGAATTTCATTCGATAAGTCAATTTATAGTACCTTTTACAGTCTACATTCCTCTAAGTTGCCAGTTCAGCCGTTAGGCCATTGACCAAAATTCCTCACTGCTGTACTCGCTTGCCTTGGGGTTTTTTCAGACCCAATGTGGTCGATCAACCTTTCAGATTCGACTACGAGAATTTAGGCTTGTTAAGTAACAACCTTAACAACTACCTATCCCGACGATATTCCCTTAAGTCCTCTTAAAGCGGTGATTAACACACCATTTTATTATTAGGGATCTTTCCCTATCTTTAAGGTAGGCCGGGTATCTATACTCACCTGTACACCACTTTTAATAAAATTATCCATTAAATTAAACGTTCGATTAGCATGTGTCAAGCATTTAGACAGCGTTCAATCAGAGCCATCACCAAACTCACCTATATGTATACGATTATATTTATTATATAATTGTTGATGGTAAAATCCATCACTATAAATTTTGGGTAATAAATATTTTCGGTTAAAGTTTTGGAGAATATAAAGATATTTCTAGTTAAAAATGTCTCTCTAAATTATAGTTTTATGTAGGCTTTGCAAAGCTCGCATTTAAATTCTATATCGGGATAATGTTATTTATACTTTGAATCAAGGACCAATCTATATAATTATAATAGAAAATATTATACTTAACAAATTAACGCCGCCCTATATAATTTTTTAACGATGTTTAATATAAGGTAATAACGCTTTTCGTCATTTACCGTTTATTACTTGTCATTCGTCGCTTTATAAAAAAAAAAGACCTTTTTTTTATTCTGCGGTAGATTATTACCTATGACAAGGTCCGACATCTACTATATAGGTTGGACCTTTATATTTTATCTTGTCTAATAGAAACATTATAGTGACAAAAGCTAATCCAATAATAACCATAAATAATGCACCTATAAGAAAGATTATATATAAATAAATCCGAAATAAAATAGTCTGTATCGTATACTACCAAGGACTAACCTATAATCACTTATAATATAGGATTATGCCTTCATATTTACAAAATGTCCAATTTCTGAAGGTGTTAATATTTTTATTAAAAACACTAAATTCCCTGCAATTTTCCTTCAAATAGAATATTATTACCATTTGAAGGAATCATTTAAAACTTTTATATCTTGAGGGTACAGTATAATCAAGTATTAGTTATTATTAGCTAACTTAAGCAAACGTTGAAGTAAGTGTAGTGTAGGGTGCTTTAATTCAAATTTGAAACCTATCCAGGAGTAGCTTAAATTCAATATAAATTGCTGAAGTGTGTATAAGACTCGAACTTATACGATAGTAACCGTACTACTATATTCTACCATTAAACTAACACACCATATATTATAAAATTAGAATATAAACACGAGATCGAGGAATAAGAATTCACTCACCTTTTCATGGATATCATTTGTACTTAAAACCTGAAGGCGCGGATTTACTTGAGGTAAATCCAGGTTTAGGTAAAAAATAATATATAAACAAAGCAACCTAAATAAATATAAATAAGCTTATTAAACCTCCAATGAATAAAATAAATCATGGATCCTTTATTAAGTAACTACTAACATAAGGTAAATTATTAAATAAGTAACTGTGAATGCTAGATAAATTATTTATTTATCAAGTATTTGTTAATACTTGATAAATAGTTATCAACGTCTGAAGCGGCCAT